CTTGAGAAGGCCACCCTTTACTGTCCCCGGGTCAACCCTTCCCTTTCCAAGGAACCCTGAATGAAACCACGGTTGTCCCCCGTAACCCGAGGCATAGCTCTCCTCCCTGCCCCTGAATGAAACCACGGTTGTCCCCCGTAACCTGAGGCATAGCTGTCCTCCCTGCCCCTGAATGAAACCACGGTTGTCCCCCGTAATCCGAGGCATAGCTGTCCTCCCTGCCCCTGAATGAAACCATGGTTGTCCCCCATAACCCGAGGCATAGCTCTTCTCCCTGCCCCTCGCCAGTCTCTCTTCTTGCGCAATCGTTTGTTCCGTTCAAGAGATACTTCCAGAGCACCTAGTCAGCACCCACCAGGCACTATAGGTACCGGGACAGGAGCAGAGAATAAAACAGCCACGCCTCTGCCTTCATGGAGGAGCAGGTGAAGCATGAGCCACCAAGAGGAGGCGGGACAGAATCCAAGAAGTCAGGGTAGTTCCTGAGGAAGTGAGGCTTGGGCTGGGATCTGGAGAGGGAGGAAGAGCAAGCCAAGGAGAAAGGAGGCCAGAGCCATCTAGATGCCAAGTGGCCAAATGCCCAAAGTGGGTGGGAGCAGGGACTGGGGGGGCGGGGGTGGGGAGCCCACGCTGGGCTCCATGGCCCAGGGAGGCTCCCAAGGGGAAGCGGTAGGTTTGGGTTTGAGAATGCCACTCTGAGTGAGGACAGATGAAAGAGCAGCCAGGGAGGGTACGGGGAGGCCTGTTGGGTGCCCTGTGGTGGTCAAGGGAGAAGGTGGTAGCGATGGGAGGACGGAAGCAGAGGAGAGGAGAGGACAGGTGAGGTGCTGTTCCTCTTGGAGGTTTTTTGTTTTTTGGGTTTTTTGGGGTTTTTTGGTGGCTGGCCAGTACAGGAATCGAAACCCTCCACTTTGGTGTTAACAACACTGTGCTAACCATTGAGATAACCAGCCAGCCCCAAGGTTTTGTGTTTTTTTTGTTCTTCCTGATATTTTCCCATGTTTTCCAGGAGGAGGGGTTGAAAGGGAAAAAAAAAAATGACCAGCTTTGGGAATTTCTGTTGCCTTTATCCCACTTCCAGTAGCACAATCTAATGGCGATTACAGGAAAAGAACAGGAGGCCCTTGCAGCTGGACCTTTGAACCACATTATTTGGCCTTGGCTTTTTATTTTTTATTTATTTATTTATTTATTTTTCCTTTTTGTCTTTTTTTGTGACCGGCAACGGATCGTTGGTTGCACCCGTACCGGACCGGGACTGGCCACGGGATCGCAAAAGCCTCTTCCAGGCTTTTGGGCTCTGTCTCTGCCTTTCTGGCAGAGCAGAACAGTCTAATATAATGGCCAATATTCAGGCAGCAGAGTGTGTGCCAGACACTGCCTGCCCTCAGCACTTCACATATCGATTTATTTAATCCACGCAACAGTCCTGTGGGGTGGGTACTTTTACTATCCCCATTTTACAAAAGAGGAAACTGAGAGACAGAATGGCAAAATCACTTGCTCAAAGCCACGTAGCTGCTAATCAGGGAGCTGGGATTTGAACCCAGGCAGTTGGGGCCTAACCGCTCTGCTCCGCTGCTGAGACGTTTGTTGAACAACTGCAAGCAAGGAGTGACGCTCCCTCTGGTCCTCTCCCCAGCCAAACCCCAGAACCACGCTGAAGCACAGGAAGTCACACTCAGCTTAGAGCCAGTGCCCGTGGCCCGCTGCGTCTCCAGGGAGGGCCGCCCACCTGCCCGAATCTCCTGGTTCTCTCCCCTGGATGGGGAGGCCATAGAAACCCAGGTGCCAGGGCCCCTGCCTGGCACATTCACCGTCACCAGCCGCTTCTCCTTGGCACCCTTGGGCCGAACAGATGGTATCAAGATCACCTGCAAAGTGGAGCACGAGAGCTACAAGGAGCCGGACCTGCTGCCTGTGACCCTTTCCGTGCGCTGTGAGTGCAACAGGAGGTGACCCCCCACATCAACACTGCCCATGCTGGCTCCTCTAGCGCTCTGTGTACACTGTCCCTGAATGTTGTCCACATCGATTCCCGCGGGCCAGATTCTGTACTACCTTCCTACCCCTTTGTCTCTACTGGCTGCCATGGGCAGCATCTACAAACTTCCCCCTCATTGTCCACACTCGTTTCACTGGGCTCCTGCCATGCTGCCCCCAATCAGTGCTAAGCTGGGTGGGCTTGCAAGAGCCAATTTTATATATTTCTTCCCAATTCTGCATCCAGTAAAGTCTTATGGGTAACTTGACATCAACTATGGAAAAATATTCACACTGAGGAAACTGGCAAACACTACAAATCAGGGCTTGCTTTTTTTTTTTTTTCTGTTCTTTAGAGAGCTGGTTTACCAGCATACAGCTGCCACTAACATCTTTTCTGGCTCCCTTGGGCCTCAGCTGACACTGCTCCCTGACTGTCTATACCAACTACCTGGGCCGTGGGCTGCGCTCCCCAACCCAGCGTTGTCCGCACACCTTCCCACACTGTCTAAGTGGGCTTCCCTGAGCAGTGACTCTTCTGGGGTCTCTGCAGACCCCTGCTCCCCAATATTATTTACATTGGCTCCTCTGGGTCCTGTTGATTCTTACCTCTCCCAAAATGCTGTATGCTAGCTCTTCCAGAAACTTCCTACACTGACATCCCTTAATAATACTCACAGAGGCTCCCCATGGCATTCTTTACACAGACCCTGTTAAATATTAACTTTATTAGCTTTTCTAACCACTGTCCAAATTTACCCCATACCCCACCCAACTGGATGTTATCTAGATTAGCTCCCAGGCAATGCCTTTGTTTACACTGATTCGTTAAGCCTAGTCTGTAGAAAAAACAAACTCAGTTTCTCCCACTATACCCATACAACATGTTTCTGACAACAGATGTATAGAGATTTCTCCCCACCAGCAAGCAAGCAGTTCTCCAGCAGACACCAGCTGGGCACCTTACAATTCAATTCCAACTCTATCTTCCTGGAGGTAGAGTCAGATCCCACAGGATGAGGGCTCAGTCCCACAAGACTGCCACCACTTCAGATGCCAATTGCAAGTCCTAAGCCACTCCCATATCAAATATTCTGGACAGGACAAAAATAACACACACTGTCTATAGTGGCTCCCTGAGGGACTGCCTGCACTGAACAATAAATTCCTCAAAATTATCTACAGTGGCTTCCTGGGCAGCATTTGTACTGGGCTTAACATATAGAGCCTGGACTGATTTGCCTCAGACAGTTTCAACTAGTGTACCTACTGCCAACTTGACCCATTTCTTTAGGATTCCCGTCTATCCACTAACCTATTCCCCCACTGCTGGGATTCTCCCTGTCTCTGAGCCAGTCCCCCTGTTTCCTCCAGATCCCCCTGAAGTCTCTATTTCTGGCTATGATGACAACTGGTACCTCGGCCGAAGTGGGGCCACCCTGAACTGTGATGTCCGCAGCAACCCAGAGCCCACAGGCTATGACTGGAGCACGTGAGTAAAGTGGACCCAGACTGCTGGGTCTGCGGGAGGAGGGGCTAGACTCATTTGTCATGAGAAAGTGGTGCTGGGAGCCAGAAGTCCTGAGTCCTCAAGGATGGAGGGAGCTGGCAGTTTGGCACTCCAGGGGTAAGTCAGATCCCTGGAGCTTGGCTCCTATATTAGTCCATTTCTGTTGCTTATAACAAAAACCTGGAATTGTGTAATTTGTAAGAAAACAAAATTTATTGCTTTCAGTTTCTGAGGCTGGGAAATCCAAAGTCCAGGAAACACATCTAGTGAGGTGACCCTACAGCAATGCAGGGTGTCGCATGGCAAGAATGGCAGAGCAGAGAGGAAGAGACTCCCATGTGTTCTCCTTTTAAAGTCCACAGAACCATGCCCTGACCACCATTATTATTATTATTTTTTTTTCCTTTTTGTCTTTTTTCGTGACCAGTAACGGGATCGCAACCCTCGGTGTCGCGCCCGCACCACGCTCAACCAGTGAGCGGACCGGTCTCTATATGGGATGTGAACCTTCGGCGGGAGCACCGCTGCGCTCCCAAACGCCGCACTCTACCAAGTGCGCCACCAGGCCAGCCCCCTGACCACCATTATTAATCCATTCACTAGGGTAGGGTCCTCAGAATCCAATCACCTCTTCAAGGCTCCACCTTTCAATTACCATAATAGGATTTCTCACCCTCTTTACACTGTCACAGTGAGGACTAAGTTTTGGGCTGACATCAATCCACAACATTCTGCCCTGGCCCCCTAAAACTCATGAACTTTCCACATATAAATACATTCATTCCATCCAGATGGCCCTAAAGTCTTAACTTGTTTCAACTCAAAAATCCAAAGTCTCAAGGTCCAATCTGTTAAATCAAAACAAGTTATTTGCTTCCAAAATACAGTGGTGAGACAAGCACAGGGTACACATCCCATTCAGAAGGGGAGAAATAGGGCCAGCCTGTGGCTCACTTGGGAGAGCGTGATGCTGACAACACCAAGTCAAGGGTTAAGATCCCCTTACAAGTCATCTTTAAAAAAAGCGGGGGAGAAATAGGCCAGAAGAAAGGGGTAACAGGTCCTAAGCAAGTCCAAAACCCAGCAGGGCTGGCATTAAATCTCAAAGCTGGCGAAACCTGTACGTTGACTCCATGTTCGACTGCTTCTGCAAGCTTGTGTGGTGGCTGGGTCCCCAAGTCCTTCAGCAGCTCTGCTCCTATGGCTTTCCTGGTGTCAGGCCATACTTTAGGACTCTCAGGCTGGTATTTAACTCTGGTAGCTCCACAGGTCTGGGGTCTCCATAGCTGTCACGCTCTTACAGGTCCAGTAGGCATGACGCTAATGGGGTTTCTCTGCTGCAACTGTGACCCCACATTTCCATGTGGCTTTGCTCTAGCTAAGCTTTTCTGTGGTGACTCTGACCCTGTGACAGACCTTTCCTGGGCCCTCAGAATTTTCCATTCATCCTCTGAAATCAGGGTGTAGACTCCCAAGCGTCCACAGTTCTAGCATTCTGCCAGCCTGCAGACCTAACACCACGTGGATGCCACCAAGGCTTCTGGCGTGTATCTTCCAAAGCTGCAGGTCCATTCACACCTGGAGCCAATTTAACCATGGCTGGAGCAACCAAAGCATCTGGAGTGCTGGTGCTGGAAGCAGCTTCCCAAGGTGGCCTTGAGCAGTGAGCCTGTGGAGGGTGCCTCAGGCCTCTTGCCCAAGACCTTTCTGCCTCCCTAGGTCTTTGGGCCTGAAATGGAAGGATTGTCCCCGAGGCTTCTGCAATGCATTCAGGGCCCTTTTCCCCTTCTCTTGATAATCCCTTTTCTTTGTACTAATCTTTTTAGCTAATGGTCACTGGACTACACCATTGCATGCTCTCTGCATCTCTACTACATGGCCAGGCAGCAAATTTTCTAAATTTTCACACTTTGCTTCCCTCTTAAATTCTGGCTTTATGTTCTGCCTTCTTCTGCCAGATAGTCTAGTTCCCAACTCCTAAGTTCCATCTTCCACAATGTGCTAGGGCATGCACACAATGAAGCCAACTTCCTTACCTATTTGCACACAATGAAGCCAACTTCCTTACCTATTTATAGGAGGGTTGATCTTTGCCTCAGTTTCCAAAATCCTCCCTCCTATTTCTATCTGAGACCTCCTCAGAATGGTCTTTACAGTCCCCATGTCTATCAGCATTCAGCTCCCCACCATTTAACCAATCTCTAAAATTTCCTCTAGTTTCCTTGGCTTCTAAACTTTCACTAGCATCTAGGCT